CCGGAGAGACCTGTGACAGTTTAAAATGTTAAATCTTTGAGTTATAGAAAATTTGATGCAAGAGAAATACATATTGATCAAAGTATGAAGTACCTCAGGAAGATCTTTCTTGATCCCATTCTCTCTGGATTTTGCCTTGTTTGAGTTTTCCTCTTGTTCCTGAAATTGTTAAGTTGTTTCAGACAAGAATATCAGAATAATCGAGTCCAATAACCAAGAGAGACGTAATACCAGTTCTTTGTTTGATTCCATGTGCGCCAGAATTCCATCTACTGTCCAATCTGAAACAGATTCGGGTTTTGTTGTCAACGGGAAGAGGATCTCAACAACCTTTCTGTTCTCTCTTAAAGCTGCCACTTCTAATGGCCTATTTCCTTCCTGCAAATTACAGAGTTTACAGTTAAAATTAACAAAGTTACACGAGAAATTTGTATTCATATCGAATTAAATGAACAAAAAGAAAAAAGTCTTTTTGCTAACGAACTGATTTCCAAGTTGGTTCTTACCTCATCTTTCTGATTAGGATCAGCCCCAGCTTTAAGCAAACAGTTAATTAACTCGAGATTTCCAATATCAGCTGCAATGTGCAACGGAGTTGCACCACCAGCGAAAACATTAGCTTTGGCACCGGCCTGTAATTACGAAAAAGAAGAAAGCCTTTTTTTTGTTAGTTCTGATTTAAGATGTATAACAACCGAAACACCATAACACTAAAGACGAGGAAGATTCCAATTGCCAGACCTTGACCAACAGCTCCAAACATGCTAGAGAACCCGCTGCCACCGCAGATAACAATGGTGTAACATTATCTTCCGTCTCAGCATTAGGCTGCAGAATCATTAAAGAAACAAACTTTTTAGGTTTACATGAAATACGGTTTGGATGGACAATCAAATCAAATAGAGAAAATAAACAAAAAAGTTTTACATTGGCATTGTGCTCTAACAAGACTTCCACAGCTTCCTTTTGGTCATGGCCAGCAGCCCAGATCAACGGTGTTCCAGACTCGCTTTCGGAATCAACAGAAACACCTCTAGAAAGCAATTCCTTAAGCAACTCGATTTCACCTAATAAAATGTATGGAGAACACATATAAAGCGAAACAGAATACTTCATGACCTGAGAAAGTGAAAATGAAATAAACAACAGAGCAATTGATAACCGACCTGTCCCAGCCGCATGATGCAATGCAGTGGCTCCTAGCTCGCTTGCTATATTAGGATCGGCTCCGTGCTCTAAAAGATACTTTGCCGTTGCAATCTGTCCTTGCCTCGCAGCATGAACAAGCGGAGTATCCCCTGCAACATCATAACAATCTCACACATAAATTCTCAAATTAAATGAATTTTTGGATTATAAAACTGCTGCAAGTGTAAAATATAAGGAAACACGAACCAGCTTCATCTTTTGTGTTGGCGTCGAGTTTAAGCTCTTCCAAGAGATATCTGCAGACTTCAGTTTGTCCTTCTCTTGCAGCGAAATGAAGCGCCCCGCGTTTGTTTGCGTCTTTGATACCCTCAACAGTTTTCGCTAAGTCTTTCCCTTCATCAAGCTGCTCAGCAACCTCTGCTTGGAGAAGAGACATCAGAGACAAATCGATACAATAACATAAGGAAGTTTTAATTAAACAAATATTATAAATCAACGAACTCACTCTTGAGGAAATCAAGGTTTCCGGTACAAGCTGCATTCAGGAATTGCTGAACTTTCTCCCTCGCTAGAGTAACAATTCAATACGGAGGAAAAAAACAAAATTAGAGATACAACAAACTAGCAATGAAACTTATACTCACTCATCAAGTGTTCAACTTTCAATACCCAAATCAGAGCCAATTCATAACATTGATTAAAGTAACGCAGAAAAGGAAAAAAAAAACGAAACTTTTTCATCAGATCAAATTCAAGTAAAGAAAACAAAGAGAACCCATCAAGGAATCTCGACTTCATGTGCATTCAAAGAAAGATTTTTTCTTAACATGTAGAAGCAGGAAGAGAGTACAGACCTGCAAGAGCAGCAGAAGCATCAGGAGCCATGGCTGATACTAATCCCTAACTTATTTCTCGGACAAATTAACGAAACTTGGAAGTAGGTTTGAGTATCGGAATTAGCTTCGTTCGTCGATATCGGAGATTGTGTCTGATTATCAGAAATCCGAAGAAGCTCTTTTTTGTTTTCAATTTGCCCGGAGGCTTCTAGGTTTTAAGAAGATTCGAGAGGTATTACCTTTCAATAAATTTGAATTTAACACCTTCACTTATGTTGACTATTACAAAACACACCCATAAGTTTTAAATTTTACCGAATACACCCTGACTTGTTAAATCTCTTCATTTCCTCTGAACGTTAGATGCAAATTGGCTCGTTTTTAGTTTTAAAAATCGATTATCTAACTAGAGAAAAAAAAATCAAAAGAATTTGTCATTTTATTATCCAATCCAAGAACTGTTTGTTTTGTATACAGAGCCATAATCTTCTTCTCTTTTTGAACAATTTTCTTTCCTCCCAAAATTTTCTATCTTGGTTGCTTCTTTGTTGCTTCAGAATCCTCCTAATTTTTAAAAGGATTATTTGTCTTCCTATCTCTCATAAGAAAATCTGAGTGATTGAAGCTTACAATCACATATACACTCTCATCAATAAGACTGCATCACAGAGCATGCAACTGCTTGTGCCCAGTGTCTCAATCTCTGCTTCACTTGTTGAGGATCGTCCCCTGCATAAAAATAACCACAAAAAATCAATCAAAATTCATGATTTTTTATCACAGTGATTGTTACTACATCCAAAACCAAGCAGCATAAAGATATCTTTAATTACCTGGGCATAAGATCTTCAATGAATCTGAATCGGTTTTCTTCGGGCTACAAGGTATACTGTACGAGAAAGT